AAGCGTCGCTGTGGCCCCCGATCACATGCAATCAGGTGATCACCTGTGATCGATGAAAATCGACTATGATCGGGGTGTAAATCGGGGCTGATCGAGTTGGGGCGATCAGTTGATCGCGATCAGCTGATTGCCCCTGATTGCCTGAATCTGGCTTCCAGGCTTTCTGGAAATTACTGATCGCGGCTGATCGAGGCGATCAAACCCGATTGGGCCTACGCCCTTATGAATTTCTGACAGCACAGGCCTTGAACGCTTTGACGAATGACGTTCATAATACACCAGAGAGAGAATTGCTCCAGAACCTTGTTTAGTGATTCGTTCTTGCCCACGTGGCCTCGAATTGCTCGCGTGGCCATCCAATTCAGTGATAATTGTTCGATTCGCCACGCTAGGGGATTCCCGCTGGTTTTTTTTTCCAGCGCATTACCCTTACAATGATTTCTATCCCCAAAACTTATGTATTGATTATTGCGCGATCTTCAATATCCGAAATTTATATCCGTGGCCCCTTATAACCGCGCCTGATGGGACGTGCATTGCCAAAAAAAGCATCGCGCATATAATCGACCAATCATGCGCGATCATTAAAGGTCCCACGCATTGACCCACGGACATTGCAGTTTATGATCGCAGAAATATATGATCGGACATTATCATATGATGCGCGCGACCATTAATGGTCGCGTATGATTAGGCAATCATATGCGCGTCCAATCAGGCGGTGTCATAAACGGTCACGAACATAAATTTCGAACATAAATCATCGCAAAAAAATCATTACAAAATGTTCGAGGATAAATACCCTAGAAAGGTAATGTGCATGAAAAAAAAAAGACGTTGAGAAAAAATTGCATAAATACCCTATTCGTTTATCTCACCGAGCGCGTTTCGGTCGGAGGTGCTTGTCATTTTTGCCCGGTGCTTTTAACGTCCGCGAGTCACATTTCCCTGCGTATTGCCGTCCCTTGCTCCCAAAATGTGGCTATAAATACGTTTTTGCAACTGTAGTGCTCTGCCACCAATTTTTTTCAACGTTTAGCAATTCAATGCTGAACTGATCACGCGTGTGAATCGATTCTATGTGACATAAACGCATCGCTCCCAACCTTCTATGTGAACGTACCGAGCTGGTGACACAATCGCGGGTGCATCAAACGAATAAGTGGGTGTAGCAAGAGTTGGCTGGTTGTGCAAAAAGCCATCATGACATGGAGGTGGGGACGGTTACTTATCTAATCTCGACAAATCGTGCGACAAATGCCAACTTTGTGTCAAGCTGGGCAAAAAATACCGTGCAAAAGAATGGAGCAACACTTTGCATGTTTTCAGGGCTGGTTCCAGTGTCACTCATAAACCCAAGAGCTAGAGGCAACACGGTGAATGATGTTTTCATGTAGTCACGGAACTTCCACTCGTGATACACAAGATGCCCAACCCCTGCGCACGAATTTGCCTTGCACGCGATGGAAACTCTGCACCCGTGTATTAGGGTGCTAGCTAGTTGCACCCCATTTACAAGCACCTCGAGCAATACGAACCACAAAACCGAAGTTTGACAGAAGAGACCAACGTCAAACGGTCAACAGAGAGTTACAAAATCTTTTAAAAGCCTTTTTTGCTAAGTGCGAATTGACGAAAACTTAGCGACGTGCAAGAATCATTTACGAGACCTCTTTGCAAGGCAAACTTGGGCTAGTCAAACGGGCATCTTGTGTAGCAGGGGGTGACGACACTCGTGCTGCTCCCACTCGTGAGTGTATGTACCTGGGCGTGGATAGTTCTTTAACCCCGCGGACAGAAAACCCGCGAACTGAAACCCGCGGACCGCAACCCGCGCACCGAAACCCGCGGACCAGAACCCGCGGACTGCAACCAACCTTTTTCATTCGGCTGTCCACGCTGTACACCTTTCTCCAATCAAGCACCAACGCGTGGAACATTCAAAGGCCACACCAATCACAACAATGATAAGGAGATTGTGATGAACTTGCTTATGGGTGAAGTCCTCCATGCCCCTTCCCCTTGTCACAAGGCGGAATGAAAGTGAACGAAATTGTGTTTCTGCGGAACCAACTTGGCGTACACCTTCCAAATCACGGAGGAACCCGTGCTCAATACACTTTGTGGAAGGCATTTCATATTCCTGCAAATGCAAGCCTGGTCAAAGGGTTTACGGTTGTTGGCTAAAAGCGTGTTCAAAGTACTGCATTCCTCGACGTCGAGGGATTTCGGTGAATGTCAACCCTCAGATCTACGGTTCCAACGGTCCCGATTCACCAACGTTCTTTGACGTTGAGCTGGTGCAGTACTTCAAACAGGACACAGTCCTCGCCAATCTCACGCCCCGTCAGTTCTTCCTTAAAGCCAAACTGACCTTATTTGGCTATGGGGGGTAAGACACCCACGAACTAGAGGCTATCCGAGGCATTGTGACGTTTCGATGTTTGCCCCTTCTGACGTTGAGATTGCAACGCAAAGACTGAATCTTCCGCTGCGAACCTGTTTCTTTTGTTTTTCCGCTGACTCATGTGCGCAGTCCAGGTCATTGGTTTCCTTAAAGCCAGATTGTTTGATGTACCCTTCAATTGGAGTGAATTTTAAATGAATACACAGGGGGGTGAAATTGGCCCTAATGAAGGGTGGGACATTATCAAATTTCAATAACCAATCAGCCACCTGAAGAGCATGGCTCGACCAAGGGCGAAAGCGCACCGTGCAGACTTCCCTTTGGCTAGCCAATCAGCCACCTAAAGAATCAACCAACGGTATTTCCCCCCAATTTCCACCTGGAAGCACGTGACAAAGGAATGCATAGCAGCCCATTCATCAGTCTAGCCGAGTGGATACTGGGATGAATCCTCACCAGCTGTGACTTGCCCTACTACTGTTTGTGGAGGAAAAACCTTGGTGCATTTCCTTTTCCGCTGTGCGGGTGTTTCGCCAACTGTTGGCGATGACGGACCAAGTTTTTTTCCGGACCAAAAGTCAGACTGAATCGGACCCATCTAGCGTTTGTTTTTCCGGACTGCCCGGAAGCGGGAATCTCTCGGTCGCATGATCCACTTGGCAAGTGTTCTGTGACAGACGATTGAAGGGTCCGTTACCATTTTGGCGAAGTGTTGGACCGTCCCAATAGAGACTAAAGTAGCAGGCTTCACTTTCAAGTTAAACTGTTTCCGAAAATCAGCAGCAACTATAATCAGAGTCTGAAAATCCTTACTACGAGAGCAGTCTGGTGCCGCGCCCTTCAATCGGCAGCAACTACAATTTCCTGGCTAGTTTTGAGCTTTGGTTCGCGCCTCGCCCTCCAAGGATCTGCTGCAGACAGCGTAATTGTGCTGTTTAGGCGGCGCATCATTCCTTCACTTTCTACAACTTGAATATCATTCCGAATTTCTCTGAATTCTGAATACTATGGCATCATATGATCCGTCCGACTGATATAAGCTCCTGTTTGCTCGCGCTTCTCCATTTGAGGTTGGATTGGAGTCAGTTTTCAAAACTGTGGATATTTGGTCCTCTGAACAGCTCCAGCCTCCACATACTCCTCTGGCCAATTCCGAATTGAGCCAAATCCGCAGGTATTAACACCTCTGAGCGACTTTTGGGGCAGGTTTACCCCACTGCCTCTTTGGGGATAAATGGGTTGGGGAGGTGCACCTTTCAACCCACCCACCCCCACCCCTCCTCCCTCCTCCCTCCACCCAGGCTGAGAAATATTGCTGTCTACGATGGTATCACATATCTGCTTTAGAGGCCACTTCTGGGCCACATTGCCCCATGTAATTTTCCGAAAATAAAAGGGTCAGACAATTTGTCAGAGTCATAAGACTCTGGGAAAACTTTCCAGACCTGAAATTCATAAGAGCCGCTCTTGTACAACAAGTAGCGACTTCGGGGGGACGGATCCGGCGCAGCGATTTCTGGTGTGGTAGCAGGTGTAGTTTGGTAGTGCCACAAGCAGATGAAAAAGAGGCAGGGTGGGAGAGCGGAAATTAAATTACTTCGGCAACAACAGACATTGACGCGAAATCAGCCTGCGCAGACCATGCAACCTGAGCAGCAGCAGCAGCAGCAGCAGCAGCAGCAGCAGAAGCAGCAGCAGCAGCAGCAGCAGCAGATGCAGCAACAGATGGCGCGGCAGTTTGTACCACAGCCAATTTATACAGCACAATTGCAAAAGCTACAGCCACAGCTACAGGCTAAGCCAGTGGTCTTGGAGGTACAGCCGCTGCTACAGACACATCTACTGCAACGTGAGACTGCTGCTGGTGCAAGACCATCGGCTTCTGGAGCCAAGCGCACGACACTGACGCGCTACCGAAACTATAACTAGGAAGGGAAGTATCGGGGAGTGAGGAAACGAGGGGAGTTTAAGTACGTTGCAGAGATTAAAGACACCACTATTGGGGTCTGCAGATGGTTGGGCACGTCTATCAGTGCAGAGGAGGCTGCTCGGGCGTTTGATAAAGCTGCTTTCGACCTCCGAGGATCAAATGCAAAGCTTAACTTTTCGAGAGAGTATATCACGGAAAGAGGAGGAGTACTGAGTTCTAATCCTCTCGAGCTAGGAGCAGCTACGACGAAAACGGCAGGAAGGGAGGCAGGTAATATTGATGAGAGTAATGGCCCGGGAGTTCCAAGGATCACGGAGTCTTTACTAGGACAGGTGGAGAAGGGGGGGTCTACGAGCTCTGCCGCTTTAGGAGCTCTGAAAGGGAAGGAGGATGATTATGCTGTAGATGCTGTGGAAGGGCGATTGGTGGGAGTGGACGTGTGCCAGCTGTTGTTTGGAGAGCGAACAAGAAGCGCGGTGGGTGTGGTGGCAGCAGAAGCAGACGAGGGTCAGCGTCACCAATTGAAGTTGCAGAGGAGGGAGAAGGAGGAGGAAAAGGGGGAGTGGGAGGAGGAGGAGGAGGAGGAGGAGGAGGAGGAGGAAGTGGGGTAGGAGGGGTGTGCATAGCAGCAGAAGCGTCAGCAGTCACTGATCGGAATGGAGCTTATTCTCCTGATTGCAGCTCCACTGTCAGCAGCAGCAGCTCCGACAGAACCGCCCCTTTTGCCTCTGCCCCTTCTCCCTCTGTCCCCTTCTCCTCTGCTTCTTTCTCCTCTGTCCCTTCTGCCTCTGTCGCTTTCCCACACTCCACCCTTCTTGCCACCTCTGCTCCTTCCACCTGCACCGATGTGCTACACTCCACCCTTCCTCCGTCCACCGATCCTTCCATCTCTGCCTCTTTCCCATACTCCACCCTTCCTGTTACCTCTACCCCTTCTACCTCCAGCGATGTGTTACACTCCAGCCTTCCTCCTTCCACTGCCCCTTCCATCTCTACTTCTTTGCTACACCCCATCTTTCCTGCTGCCTCTGCCCCTTCCACCTCCACCGATGTGCAACACTCCACCCTTCCTCCTTCCACTGTCCCTTCCATCTCTGCTTCTTTCCTACACTCCACCCTTCCTGCTGCCCTTGATCCTTCCACCTCCACCGATGTGCTACACTCCACCCTTCCAGCCACCTGGGATTACAATGTCGCAGTATCTGGGAAAGTGATGATGCCACGTGGGAATGCATCCCAACAAGAAACAGAGGAGATGGTGGAGGTACCCAACATGATGGCAGGCCCAGCTGCAAACATGCTCACAAGCTGGCATGCTGAAATGATGCAGCATGCGCCTGCCATGGTGCCCCCGTTTGAGTCGCTCTGGATGCATGACCATGGCATGCAGTATGGGTTTACCATGTCTCGCGTGTCTTCTACATGTGTCAGACCACCGCGTCAGCGTCATCAGACACAACGGCTGCAGCAGCGACAGCGGCGGCGGCAGCTGCAGCAGCAGCAGCAGCAGCAGCGACAAAAGGGGCCGCTGCAGGGTCAGCAGCGGGGTCAGCAGCAGCAGCACCATGCGTCAGGCTTCTGGCAACAAAATTATATGGATTTGAAATCTGGCAGGAGGGGTAAGGCAGCTGCATGTAGCCCTTCTGCGGACCCCACGAGTTCACCTTCTCCCATGGAGGAGTGGAGGGAGCAGCAGGCGATTAAAAGCCACACCTCAGACTTGCCAAACAATCTCACAACAAACAAGATTTCTAGCCCTTCAGTCTCCGATTCTCTACTCACCACCAATCACAAGCCGCATTCCGAAGCTGCACCTCTGATGTTTCGAAGCCACCGCGTATCTTCCCCGTTGGAGCTGCGGGTTTCCAGTTCCTCAACCCCTGAGTCCCAGCCGTCTGTGGGAAACACTGGTGGTGTGGGTGATTTGAGGGCTGCAGGTAATGCCGGTGCTGCTTGTGGTATGGGTGTTGTGGGTGCTAAGGGTGGTGCAGGTCGCGTGGTTAGCAATGCGCCGGTTGGTGGTGCCAGCATTGCTGGTGCTGCAGGTAAGGCTGGTGTTGCCAGTTCTGCTGGTGTTTCTGGTGCTGACCATCAGTATCATCATCATCAGCAGCAGCAGCAGCAGCAGCAATCACAAACCATGCAGCACCATCATTTGCAAGTAGCGCAGCAGCAAGAGCAGTGCTACCATCACCAGCAGCAGCGGCAGCAGTGCCATGCATCCCGCGTCTTGCAAAAAGGCTCTCTGGATCTGATGGCTGGAAGGAGGAGCAAGGAAGCTGCATGGAGCCCTTCTACAAACCTCACAGGTGCACCTTTCCCCATGATGGAGTGGAGGAAGTCGCAAACATTTGGGAGCCGCACCTCAGACTTGGAAATCAACCACACAGCCAACAGTATCTCCAGCCCTTCATTTTCTGACTCTCTACTCAAGTCCCACCATAAGCCTCATTCCGAACCTGCACCTTTGATGTTTCGAAGCCACAGCGTATCTTCCCCCTTGGAGCTGCGGCTTTCCAGTTCTTCAACCCCTGAGTCCCAGCCGTCTGTGGGAAAAACTGGTGGTGTGGATGATTTGAGGGCTGCAAGTGGTGCTTTTGCTGCTTGTGGTATGGGTGCTGTGGGTGGTATGGGTGTTGCTTCCAGTGTTGCTGGTGCTGCCTGTGTTTCTAGTACAGCTAATGATGCAGGTGTTGCCAGTGCAGAAGGTGTCGCCAGTGTTACTGGTGTTGCCAGTACTGCAGGTGTTGCCAGCGATGCTGCTGTTGCCGGTGCTGATGTTGCCCGCGATGACCAGCAGAAGTTGAAACAGCAGTCGCATGCCATGCAGCAGCAGCAACAGCAGCAGCAGCAGCAGCAGCAGCAGCAACAGCAGCAGCAGCAGAATCAGAAGCAACAGTCGCATGCCATGCAGCAGCATGAGTTGCAATTAGTGCTGCAGCAAGAGCAGTGCCACCACCGCCACCAGAAGCAGTTGCATCCTACGGAGATAACTAGTGCTGCAACGGGAGCTAGACTACGGGCTAGGCACGGGTGCTCGTGTGATCTCTGCATTCGTTCACTTAGTCGTTTCCTTGTGTTCACGCTGCTTGCTAGTTCACGGGGAGAATTGGCAAGAGTTTCACTAGGAAAACATGACAACAATAATAGCAACAACATTGGCATCACAGACTACATCAGTGCTAGCTAGGCTGCTGGTCGACCTCCAGCGCAGCAGCGCTCGCACCGCTCCAGCGTTGCAGAGTAGCGGTTCGCCAACGTTGCAAGTCCACGGTGTGCCAGCGCTGCAGCAAGTCGGCTGCACAGCGTTGCACCCGCAGGACAACGGTGCACCTGCTTCGCAGGTGCGCGCAGCTGGTTGGTGCGCACTTCCCTGTCACGTGCACAGCGCAGACGCCTGGCAGACTCCACGCCAGCGACTGTGCCCACCAGCCACGTCGACCTCGGGATACCACCCCCGAGGTCGGCCTCGCAGACTCCACCCTGGCGACACTCGCGCACGTCGCCCGGGTATTCCGGTCGACCGGGCAACCACGCCTGGCCGACCAGCGCAGTCCGTAGCCGGCCACGGATGCCCGGCGTCCCCAGTCCGGCGTCCAGGCGCCCAGGACGCCTTCCGAACCCCCAGGTCGGCGCCCAGACGCCCAGGACGCCGAGCAGACCTCCAGAGCGGGCCCCCCAGGGCGCCCAGGTCGGCGTCCGGGCCCCCAGGACGCCGTGCAGGCATCCAAGGCGGCGTCCTCCTGCTCGGCGCCCTCCAGCCAGTCGCCCTCCAGCTCGGCGCCCTCCAGCCAGGCGCCCTCCAGCTCGGCGCCCTTGCAGTGGCCCCCGTGCCCACTGCTGCAGGTCGGCTGCAACTCCCACACATCCGACCACGAGGTCGGCTCCGCCCAAGCGAGGACGGGGCCACACAACACTCCCGTTGACACTCCCCTTCCGCGTTCACGCTTGCGCCCCCAGCCCACACGGCAGTACAGCTCCGAGAATAGCCCGTCGGCGTGCACCCAACACACAGCACGCCGGTCACCGCACCAGCCATGCAAGAGGGCATGGCACCTACTGCTGCACGTCGTTGTCGCCGTCGCCCACGTCGGCCAAGCGCACCTGGCCGATTGCGACGGAGCACCGGTTGAAGGCCGGATAGTGCAGCGCCTTCGTCAGGAAGTCGGCTGGCTGCTCAGCGGTCGGGATGTACTGCAGCGAGAACTTCCCGCGCTTCACCATGTGTTGCAGCCAGGCCTGTCGCCGCTCCATGTGCTTGAGGTTGCCTGTCAACCCCATGCCCTCGGCGACCGTGATGGCCGACTTGTTGTCCACGCGCAGGATAGTCGGCTTCCCGGCGTCCAGCTGCCGGAACTCTGCAAGGAGGAAGCGAAGGCGGCGTCCCTCCTTGCCGGCTTCCGTGGCCTCCACGTACTCCGACTCGGTCGACGACAACGTCGCGCACTTGATGCGCTGGCTCGACCAGGAGACCGCGGCCCCTCCGTAGACGAACACGTAGTCGCCTGTGCTCGTCCTGTTCTGCTTGTCACCGGCATCGTCGGCGTCCACGTAGCCGACCAGCTCCAGCGACTCAGGTCCACCGCCGAACTCCAGGGCGGTGTCACGTGTGTTGGCGAGGTAGGCAAGGCAACGGTCGACCTCGCGCCAGTGCTGGTCGCTCCTCACAGTGAGGCCGCTCCCCAGCCTGCTGCAGGCGAAGGCGATGTCCGGCCTTGTCGTCGTCGCCGCGAACTGCAGCGAGCCGACCTTCTGCCTGTACTCCTCCTCCTGGCGTTCCTGCGCCTCCTCGTCGTTGCAGGTGAGCTCGACGTAGGCGTCGACCGAGACTGGCGTCTTCGGGGTGCGCCCGGTCTGCTCCTCGTCGATGAAGCGCCTACGTAGCTTGTCGGCGTAGCCCTGCTGGTGCAGCCACAGCTTCCCCGCCGACCTGTCGCGCACGATCTCCAGCCCAAGGTACTTCTGCAACGGCGAGATCTCGCGCAGCTCGAAGGCGGATTCCAGCAGCTCCTTCAGCTCCTTGAGCATCACGGCGCTGCTATTGGCGGCAAGCAGGTCGTCAACGTAGACCAGCACCCAGCAGGCCACTCCGTCCTCGCCGACCTTGAAGTAAAGAGCCTCGTCGACCTGGCTCTTCTTCCAGCCGGCGCCGACCAGCACATCGTTGAGCGCCAAGTACCACAGCAGCAGCGACTGCTTCAGCCCATACAGGCTCTTCAGCAGCCTGCACACCCGGCCGGATCCGTCGTTGAAGTAGTCCGGCTGGTGCATGTACAGCACCCGGTCGAGCTTGCTCTGCAGGAAGGCGTTCTTCATGTCGAGCTGCATCAGGTTGAGGTTGAGGACGGCGAAGATGCTGAGGAAGATCCTCAGCGTGACGTAGCTGCCCACCGGTGCGAACGTCTCGTCGTAGTCGGCGCCGTACACATGCGTGAAGCCCTTCACAACCAGCCTCGCCTTCTCTCGCTCGACGGTGTCATCGATGTGGTACTTCGTCGTCAACACCCACCGGTTCTTCATGATGTTCACTCCCGGCGGGCGTTCGACCAGCTCCCACGTTCCCATGTAGAGGAGGCTGCGAATCTCCTCCTCCATGGCGGCCTTCACCGCCGGGCCCTTCGAGCTCGCCAACGCCTCCTTCACCGTCATCGTCGAGATGTCCCAACGGTGCTCGGGGTCGGCTAGCATGTCGGGGTCGAGCTCTGGAAACTCCTCATCCTCCTCGGCGTCGTCGTACAGCAGGTCGTCGTCATCATCGTCCACGTTGTACACCGTGGTGAAGGCAGCAGGGACGAAGAAGTCAGGCGGCCTCCGAAGTCGGCCTGAACGCCGTGGTCCCGGCTGGACCTCCTCGGCGTCCCCTCCATCATCGCTGTCGTCGCTGCCCTCGGCGTCCTGCTGCTCCTCAGCCGGCGTCCCAGCCGACTGCTCCCCTGTGGTCGGCGTCCCAGCCGACGTCTCCCCTGTGGTCGGTTCCCCTGCCGACTGTCAGGTCGCCGACTGCTCCTTGGTCGGCGTCGCTGCTGCCTGCTCCCCTGTCAGCTGCTGTTCTGCAGAAGTCTCCTTCACTGGCTTCACCAAAGTCGGCTGCACCACCTGCTGCCTCCCAGTCGGCGTCAGCTGCACTCCCACGCCGACTTTCACAGCATCACATCGGCCACCGGCGATGCTTGGGGCCGGCGCCACAGGTGACGCCCCACTTCTCCCCTCATCACCGGAGGCCGACGTCGGGGTCAGCGCAGGCAAGTCGGCAACAGGGGGAGCGGCAGGAGCACAGGGAGCGGGGACGGCCTCGGCCTCGGCCTCGGCGTCCGCACCAGCAGGCTCACCGGCCTCGGTGAGCAGAGGCAGGGTCGCAGCCGATGTATCCGTTGGCGGGTGAACCGGCGTCCGCCCTGACGCCG